TGATCAACTAGTAAAGTAAACAAATTACATAAGGGAAGCTTCAAAGAATAACATCTACCAATCCTATGCAGGTTTTGACTGTTGAATTCTATTACCTTCTCTGTATATCTATCATTGTTTTTAATTTTATTCAAGGAATTGTTGGAAAAAAATAAAATAAATGGTGAATGAGAAATTGTAACAACAAACTTTTGGTTTCAATTCTCTTGTTAATTTTGTATTGAATTGATAGTTATAAACCTTTAATAGTTATTGTAACATATTTTGTTGTTAATACAAAATTAATAAGAAATATTGAAACTCCCTAATCCAAGTGTTATATAAGGAGTTGTTCTCCTCTTTATTCCATACACCAAAAATTTGAGGGTTCTTTCATCTCTCTAAATATCTCTCTTCTATCTTTATTTTCAAGAGTCTTGTTGTTAGTGAATTAGAGTTTTTTTTTTCATAACTTGGTGATTGAAGTGTGAGTATCTTAATTTGCATGAATCAGTGACGATGTGCTAGTCAGCAGCCTTTAATCGTTGCATCCAAAGAGATAGACGTTATTTGTACTCTTGTACTAAGTGGGGGACGAATCTATTTTAAGGAAATTATGTCCAACATAGGCCTCGTTTTCTTGTAATACCGCTACTACATCAACGACCATATTTTCTCACTTTTATTGTTACCCTATTTATTGTAATTTTTTTCCATTATTTTATTTATATAATTTCAACAGTATATCTAATTTTTCTTTTCTTTTCTTTTTGTATTTTTCCTAACAAAGTGATTACCGCGTATGTTTCTTTTACATCCTTCAAATCCTCTCTTTCAGCTTTGAATTCAGTTCCTATTCCTCAGTTTCATTTATAGTCAAACAATTGGATTCTTAAATTTTGAGAACCCCAATTGTTTTCCTTTTTCCTTGTAGAAATAACAATATATTCTGGATAAAAAAATTTGGTTATTTGGTTTTCAATTAATTTAGTGAAGAAGTGGCAATTAACTCCATGCGAAGTCTATCATCCTCCATTAGCTTTAACGTACACATCATCTACTTCTATTCTAACGTGTCACTAATAGAGTAACCTAATTGCTGAAAATTAAAGTTCACCAGTCTACTTGCATGTGTGGTGAAAATTTAGTGACCTCAAGTACAATTAAGCAATTAGTTTGCCCGTAATACTTATACAGTTTTTTTTTTTGTCTTTCAATAAATAATACATTAGTTGTTGTTTATTTATTTATTTGAATAATGCCCATTTTTATTCAACTAAGTATTCAATGAAGAGCCATCAATTGCCTTGTGAAAACGAAAGTAGCAACAAGATCAAAGCTTTATTCTCAGATCATGGTGGTAAATATATAGGCTACTGATAAGTGCAATTTGTACACTTATTTAGATCATATTATTAAACTTTTAATTCATCAAATTATTAGTTTATATTTAACTTAGGTTAATTTTTATTTTGTTTTTAGTGATTGACTCGTTTGAAGCACTTGGAGAAGAAAGAAGGATGAAATTGAATGAAATTTGCAATATCGGAGATCAATTTCAACACTTGAAAAATTGAAGAGGACATTGATTGCACAATTGAGGAACTCAAGGACTACATTGCATTAACTTAAAGGAGAGGAGGGCTTGAAGAAAAGTGTAAAGTAATTGGGCCTCAAATGGGATTCAAGAATCAAATTGTACAATTGTTTGGAATTGTTGTGGACTCCTACCCACGCAAAAGGGCCACCGTCTGGCTGTATAAATATAAATATATTAATACACGTGCATGAGAGGATGCTGCCTAGGATTTTAATAGAGAGAAGGAGAGGAAGAGGGGAAGAGATACACAACTGCCGGCTAGGGAGAAGAGAAATATAATTCTTTGTGGAATCAAACATTGGGGGCTGCTATGTATACACAGCACACGGACAGATTTGATAAGAGGAAAAAGGGCAGCAGCAGCTTGGGAGAAAAATATAGTCAACAAAAGCAGCAGGAATTGGGAGGAAGACATACAAACGCAAGCTGCCTTGGGAAATTGTATAGAGATAAACACACAAACATTGAATGACTTTTGTGCTTATTTGGAGAAGAGAGGGCTACCAACTGGAATATAAAAACGACACGCATAGAAAAGGCAGATGGAATTGAATCCGAGAATAAATTGAGGAATTAATCACTTGCCGTCAATTTCTTGGTGATGTCGTTTAAACTTTCTTTGTTTAATTCCAACATTATGCAAGGCTAATTTCTTCTCATGTACGTATTGGATGAAGATGAAACCCGTTATTATTTATTTTTAATTCAAGACACGTGGTTTAGTTAAATTCTTATAATTCTTGATTAATCTTGCATGCGTAGTTTTATTATTTAATTGCTTGATTACCAATTAAATATATGATTACTTGTTGCAGTGCCAGGAGGCTTACTATAGCTTTAGAACATTACTTGATTAACATGTGTGCAATAAATTTTAGGAATAAAATTTATCACATGTGTAATCTTCGAGATAATTATGAAATTGAATGCGTTCTATTCATTCGAATTCGGACTAGGAATAGATTCGGGTTGTGATTAGGATAAATTTAATTTGTCTTGGAAAAGAAAATTAATTACAATAGAATTATCGATTGTCAAGAATGCATGAACGAAACTAGTTACGTAGTCAAGAATTGGAATAAATAATAATATGTGGATTCGTAATCCAATACACTCTTTCTATACACGTATTAAATTCGCATTTTACTCGCTTTCGTAGATTAAGTTAGATTAATTAAAAATCAGAAAACATTGTTATTTGATCATTTTGAATCTAATTAAACACTAGTACACT